GGGGGGGGTTTTCTCCGGTACCGGGAACCGAACTCACGACCTTGCGCTTGCCAGGCAGGCGCTTTGCCGCTGAGCTAAATCCCCAGCCCCTAATGGTGTTCTTGAACACCACAGACACCAGCATCCCCAGACTCACCCTGGCATCTCATGATTCGGCCGTTCTCCCTTCTTCAACCCTCAAGTATCACTTTGACGTTCAGGTTACTGATCCTTCCCAGCTCCACCAACTAAGCTTGCATCCCTTATCGCTACAGTTTAGCTTGAGTTTTGCCTGTTTTAAACTTTATGAATGGAATATAAAATATACAGTCTTTGAGTCTGCCTTTTTATACCAAACATGCCTAAAATTCCCTCATGTCTATAGGTGTGCTTGGTTGTCTTTTTAATTGTTATACAGAATTTAATTGGAGTAATTTACCCTGATGTATTCCTCAGCCGGCCATATTTGTGTGTTGCCATTTTGGAGTTGTTATAAAGGCTCCTCTGTATTATTAATGGAAATGTATATCTTAGCACATCTGACAAACACTGGGTATGTACTAAGGAGCTAATTACTAACTGTGGGATTATGTACATATGATTTTTAGAACGAAATGCCCAGATGGCTTTTATTTTATTTTTAAAAAATTTTTTATGTTTTTGGTACTGGGAATCAAACTCATGACCTTGTGCTTGCTATTCAGGCGCTTGAGCCACTGAGCTATATCCCTGGCCCCCAGATGGCTTTTAAAGCGGTTGTGATGACTTATATTCGAACTAGGAGTGTGGAATTTCTTTTATCTGTACTCTTTATTATCACTGGGAATTGTCAGTATTTTGAAACCCATTCATTGTGCTGGGCACTTCATAGAATTGCATTTAGTTTACTTTATTTAATGTAGTTATTGAAAGGGACTTGTGTCTGATATTTTACCATTTCTTCCCTGTATCTCATGTATGGGGTCCTTTCTTTATCTGTCATAAAATTACTGTTTATTTTTCAATTCCTTTGATTTTTAAAGTACAATTTTCAGTTTTTTTAGTCATAAATACACATCTTAACTTATCCTAATCTATCTTAGATAAATGCCAATTCCAGTAACACACAGCAGCTGTGTTCCCAAGTAGCTCTATCCCCTTCTCTTTCCTTTGATGCTATGTACAGCCATACTCATTTCGTATAGAACACCACTGCACTATAATCACAGCTTTCATAATGTGCACTTATTGAGCATGAGATGGCAAAGTGTGACTCATGAAGTAAGTTATTTATTTATTTATTTATTTGTTTATTTTTCCGGTACCGGGAACCGAACTCACGACCTGGCACTTGCCAAGCAGGCGCTGTGCCGCTGAGCTAAATCCCCTGCCCCTCATGAGGTAAATTTGCTAACAAAGTTTTATTGAAAAAGCCATCAACCCTTCATTTATGTGTTGGGTGGGTACTTTCATGCTAAATGGTAGATCCAAGAATTTATGATGTATGGAATTAATGTTGCTTATTAGCAGCCTTCAATTAAGGAGATTATTCCAGATTACCTGAATTGGATGCTGTTTATTATTCCACATTACCAATGCAGTTTATGCAGGTGTTTGTTAAATAAATTAAAGTATATACATACAATATATTTACATGGAGTTTTGTAATCTTTTGTGGTTATTCTTAATGGCGCTCTTTATTTATGTGCGTTTGAGTTTCCTTTGACGTCATCTCTTTCTGGTGTTTCTTCACGTGGCATTTCTGCTGTCAGGGCACTCTGTTCATCTGTGTATATCTCCATTTCATCTTCAATTTTTGAAGGATAATTTTACAGGATGCAGAATTTTTGAATTTTTTTCCTCTAGCACTTTAATATGCCACCCCCACTAGCTCCTGAACTCCACTGTTTCTGATGAGAAGTCAGCTGTCAACCTCACTGTCGTTCCACTGTTTACTGAGCCCTTGTTTGTCCTGCTACTTCCAATATTTTCACTCTTTTTAAAACTCAGTTTGATGGAAGTGTCTAGGAAGCAGTTGATTTGTGTATGTTTTAGGGTAGGGACATTGGATTTGTTCATGCATACGATCATCTTTTCTATCACATTAGCTGAGTATTTGTTCATTATTTCTTCCATTTTTTTCTCTATCCATTTAATTTCTGTGGGATTCCCATTCAACATTCTCAATGGTGACCCACTGGTTTATTTTTTAAATTTATTCTTACTTTTTTAGTTGAAAGAAAAAAATAAACAATAAAAGCAATGGTATAAAATTTCAAAACAAGCTTGTAGGAGAGTAACATTGTGTTAGCACATTGTATATTGTTATCTTCAAAGCAGTTGCTCATATTATACGATATAGGCATGAAAAACTGATCAAACAGTATAGGCATATACCTTTCCTTTCAATGAGCTAATAGCAATTAGTAGTATGACTATCTATTGCATGTGTGTGTGTGTGTGTGTGTGTGTGTGTGTGTGTGTGTGTGTGTGTGTTTATCTATTTTTCCATTTCCCTTCCTTCTTTTCTGCAGTGGTTTCTGAGGCTCTGTTTACCTCTTTTTTTCCACTGCTGTTTGGACTGATCTTTTTTGTGCTATTTTTCTGCTTGTTGATTTTTGTCTTCTGTTTGTTCACATCTGCTCTTCAGCTTTTCTAGTGAGTTTTTCATTTCAGTTATTATGTTCTCAGAGTACAACTTGAGAATTTCTACTGTTTCTAAAAATAATTGCTGACAGTGTCACTTGATGAGCTATATCACTGCCATCCTATAACTTTTCAAACATATTTAGGCTTTTGACATCTTTGTTAAGTGGAATATTTGTCTTCCTCCTTTTCTCAAGAGACTATATCCAGTGCTGAGTGCTCTTGTCATTGTACTGGTACTGTTCTGGTGTGGTTGAAACCTGGACATTTTATGTAATAAGTTGTAGCAAATCTGAGTTCTGATTGCATCATCTACTCCAGAAGTGGTGGTTGTTACTATCATTGGTAGTAGCCCTACCTCTACTCCTTGTGGCGCGCCTGTTTCTCTTGAAGCACGTGGGCTCTGACTATCCACTCACTGTGTAATTTTTATCCTTTGTTTTTATTTTAAGACCAGCTTTCCAGGCTTGTCTCCTGTTTACTCTCTTTTGCCTGATTGCAGTGCAGCCTCTCTGACAGTGGAGCCACCGCCTTCTTAATCTGGGCATCCTTTGGGCCTATTACAGTGCCTATCAAATAGTAGACCCTCCATTACTATCTGAGGGAAAAGTAAATGAATGTTAGCGGTCTAGTTATTTTAAATCTGTGAGGGCGTAATCTTTCTCATAAGCCTTTGTGGCATGGTGAGTTGTTAGGCACGTTTGAAGTTTGACTCTGCAATCACACTGTCAGGGATCTGCTACCAACAGAAATAATGTTCTCTTGCCTGTACACATATCTGTATTGAAATGTTCTCTGAGTCAGTCCTTATAATTTGGAAAAAAAACCTGGAAAAAAGCTAAATATGCCGGGAGAAGTGAATATTAAAGTGCAATGAAATAATTAAAAGTTATTGCTTAGATATGTTTTGTGGTGGAAAGTTGCTCAAAATAGTTGCAAAAAGTGCACATGGCAAAATACCGAGACTGTGATCAGACAGTTAATTAGTAGAAAAGAAAATTGTTGTATGTCCTTTTTGTGTAGATGTGGATGTATGGGAACATTCATTTTTAATGCGTAATTTAAAAATTATTTATAGTTTCATGTGTTAGTTTTGTAATTTTATGTTTTCTAGTTACAAACTACGGGAGAAAGTGAAGACGACTGGGCATTTCATTCTTCTCGTTTCCGCACATAACGTGCAGTGCACTTCAGCTCCTCATAACAAGCTTACTAGAAACTGCTCTTCTGGAGAAAACGCTTACCAGGCTGCCACACATGAAGATCGAGTGCATAAGGGTGATGAAAATTTCCAGGAAGTAGACGGCCAGTAACACACGGGAAACTTCCCTCCCCAGTTTCTGTAACCAGGAAATAGAGGAAATTTCGCATTTTTTGTCAGTGCAAACATGGTCTTGGAAGGAGCTTCTTGTGTAAGAGTCAAGGAAAGGGAGAATCAACCTCTTTTGCAATTTGATTTCTCCAGCATTTTGATCCCACTGCTTCTCACCTCAGTTTTCGCGCCCTTCCTCCCACTCCACTGTTCGCGGCTTCCGTCCTTGACCACCATCCTGTCCTCGCTAAACCATCCCCGGCACAGCCAGCCCACCGTCTCCACCTTCCCATTAATCAGGTTTGGTGCTCCTATCTCTAATAAGGTGGGCACCAAGAGATTTCTAAACAAATGAACAAACAATCCTCTTGTCTATTAAGAAAGCTATTATTAATTACAAACTTACTTAAACTCATATTTGTAGTGATAAAAACCTCACATAAATATTGCTATGACATTGTATGAAGTCATTGGTCAATTTAACAAGCTCAAAGAATATTTCACATGGAAGTACAAGGTTATCGTTTTTGGGATAAGTAAGCAGATACTTTCTGCTGCTACTGGAAAGATATTTTCAACCACATAGAGGACTGGTATGTCATATGAGTTATACAGGAGATCATCCTAAGAAAGTAGTTTTTGTGCTACCTATCCAAACCCAAGAATGATACTCAGACCTAGAACTGTCTCTGCTTCCATTCATCTTTTCCTCCTATTCTTTTTCCTTTACCTTTGTTGGCTTTATTTAATGTCTTTTATATGCAAGAAACTTATTGGGTGGTGGAATTATATGGTGGGTAGAGTGGCATAAAAACTTCCTCTTTCCTTGGAGTTTATGATCAAATAGAAAAGATGGAAAAGTAATATAAAGTCACATATGGTATGATTAATGTGTCAGTCACTATAGGGAACAGCAGGGTCACTGAAATCCATTAATATCCAGAAAGTCATCATAAAAAGGTAGGACCTTTGAGAAATGGTAGGACTCATTAAAAAATGAAAGAAGCAGAATTCTAGGCAGCTTTCAGTTTTTATTTACTTGCTTCATTGTAACCCATCTTGTTTTGGGAAGTGTGATAAAATAATGGAGAACTGGAGACATACTCTAGGATCCATTATGATCCATTACAACAATGCACAGTTTCTTAATGTGAGCCAACAACTGCATCCAAGAGACACTGTTTGTGAAACTGATACAAAGTTTTGAATGAAGTATCGTATTCATTTATGTGTGATGCAAATGGAAAGATAAGGAAAGAGATGAGTTTTTAAATACCCAGGTATAGAGTCCTCATTTCAGTGTGTTGGCAGCATTACATAATCAGATTATTTCAGCTGGAAACTATGTCCTCCTTATTTTCTGCCCCCAAAATTAGAACTAAAGATTTCTACACTGCATCCCCTGGTGAGGGGGGGTTTTCTTACAGTTTACAGGGAGACTCATGTTTATTTAAGTCCTGGTTCATCACATGTAGTGTGTTTTGGGGTGCTGCACTTTCCGTGTTTTCTGTCTCTGCCTCCAGGTCTCTGCTGTCTGTGTTTGGCTTCTTCCTGCCAGCAGTCATCCGTACGATGTATCGCCCTCTGGAGAAGTCGCACACAGGGCGCAAGTGGCAGGAGGCCGGGCCCCACCTACACTCACTCTTCAGTTCTTTATTATAATTGCTGCCTATTTGCTTTTGTTGTTTAAAGAAGGAGAAGCTGCTATCTAATCTGGGAGATTTATATAACCTTGGCCAAAACACTAATCATCTGTGATTTTGAATTTAAGGCCAACACAACTGAAATAAATCTATTATCCGTAAAAAAATTAACATTTACTAGAGAATGTTGCTGCCTCAGAAAGCAACACAGTTATTTCCATAGTACAAAGTTTGTGACTTGTTACTTGATCAGAAATGACAGGCTTATGTGTATTTAGCATCTGAGGAGTTCGAGCAGAATTCAGCTAAGCCAGACAGGTTGTTACTAAAAGTCCTCTGCTAATTCGGAAATCACTAGGTGTTGGCAGTTCAAATCATATGTATTAAGAGCAGAATTCTTTTTGACTTTGGGAATATTTTTATGCTCAAGGATTATTCTTTTCTTGCATTAAAAGAGCCATAAATGACCTTGAGCCTAATGTACAGCTCCTTAGCATGGCAGCCCTGCTGTATTTTAACTAGGCAAGTCAAGAGTTCAAATAGCTTATTAATATTCCCTAAAATTGTATATCTTAGAATTATAATTTTTAATCAAGAGCTCACTACTAAATCAAAGCATCACATGAATAACAATAAATGCCTGATTTTGCCTCCCAAGTCTTCAAAGTAACTGAAAAAATAATTTTGAAATGAAGACGTTTCCATAGAATTGGTCGCTTACCGCTTGCCCGTAATTCTTATATGACACAGATTTAAAAGAGGACAACTCCACCAAGGTTAGAACCATTGAGATGAGTGCAGCAGTCATACATAAGAGATTCAGGCCCAGAGAGGATATAGTCTGAAAGGAAGACAGAGGAAGTTTGTTATATTCACAATACTGCTTTTTTTTTTTTTTTTTTTTTTTGAGACAGGTTCTTGCTCTGTAATTCAGGCTGTTCTTAAATTCACTATGTAGCCCAGGCTGGCCTCAAACTCATGGCGATCCTCCTACCTCAGCCTCCTGAGGGCTGGGATTACAGATACGTGCCACCACACCCAACCAGAATACAAATTTTGGTTAAATCACTTGTTTTGCTATTAAGTAATCCTGCTGTGAGGGTTTAGAAGTGTCTGTATGTTTACAATTCGGGTAAAATATTTTTCTAGTGTAGACGAAACCCAATTAATTTAGAGGAAACATTAAAATAGTATCAAGCTTACGAGCATTCTGAGGTGCAAACATTGTATTTTACAATCTGGGCTTTTAATGCAACTTAGATGTCAAGGTTTTTGGGGGGTACATGCTTGCAATATGTAGGGATTACTTTCCTCGGGTGGAGCTGGTCCACATACATAAAACATCTTGATTCTTTTTTCATCCTCTTTCCCTTTCCTGCCTCTGTCCTCCCTCCTTGTCTTGATCCCTTTCCTGTTTGAGACGGTTATCTCCCTACTTCCTATTGTCCATCTTTTATTCTGCTCTTTATTTATATCTTGGGTTTCTCATGTAAGAGAAACCATGCAGTATTCAAGCTTGCATGTCTGATTTATTTCACAACGTTATTGTGTCAAGGTACATCCACTTTCCTATAAATGTCTCAAATATATCCTTTATGGCAGAGTCGTACTCCATGGTGTGGAAAAATCAAACTAATTTCTTTTAGCTCTAAGATTCTAAGACTATTTCTCAGTTCTGCAATTCTGAGATTATTTTTCCTTTCCAATGTTCACCTACATCACAGATCTTTTTTCCTCGACAAATAACTTACTTTGTTACAAGATACAATCCTGTTTCCAAATTGGATGGTTCAGAAAATGAAGTTTTACAGCACTATAATATCTGTACATAAAGGCATTTGATCTTAAGACTAGAAAAAAATTATAAGATTATAATTATCTTAATATTCATGTAATGCTAAAAGGTAGAACATCAAACAAAATGAAACTACATTTAAATTTATTATAAAGAGAATCAAAACAATAATAAAATAACAGCAACATAGATAAAGACAAAAAGCAAAACCAATAAAAATTATACAGGATTTCAAAACAAAATGATAGGAATTAATAGTGCCTGTTATATTACATTGTTATCTTCAACAAAGTTGCTCAGATTACCAGATGTAAGAATGCAAGACTGATCAAACCATTAAAGAGAGTAAAAAAAAAAAAATTAGAAATGATACAGAGCTTCACCAAACAAGATGGTAGGAATTCACCAATAGTTGTTTTTTATTGCATATTGTTGTGCTCAAATTAGTTGTTCATATCACCAGATACAAGCATGAAAAACTGGTCAAAAAAATTTAAGCATTAACTGTTCCTTTCAATAAACCACCAGACATTAGCAGTACAATTATCCCAGCTATCCTTCTACATATATATGTATTTTCTCTTTTTTCTTCTTTCTTTCTTTTCTCTCTTTCTTTCTTTTCTTTTCTTTTCTTTTCTTTTCTTTTCTTTTCTTTTCTTTCTTTCTTTCTTTCTTTCTTTTTCTTTCTTTCTATTTCTATTTCTTTCTTTTTCTATTTTTCTTTCTATTTCTTCTTTCTATCTTTCTATTTCTTCTTTCTTTCTATTTCTCTCTTTCTTTCTTTCCTTTTCTTTCTTCTTTCTATTGTTTCTTCTTTCTTTTTCTCTCTCTCTCTCTTTCTTTCTTTCTTTCTCTCTCTTTCTTTCTTTGTCTCTTTCTTTCTTTTCTTCTCCTTTCTCTCATCCCAGGACATTTAAATTTAGAAGTGTTTACGTAAAGTAGTAGGATTTTAACTATTATCGCACATTTGTTTACATTAATTTATAGATGCTGGATTTTCATTTGATTTCTTCATGTATTTTACAGGGAGTGTAGATTTCTTCATGGTTTAAACATCGTTTTTTTCATTAAAACCTCTTGCTTACTTTTGTGACAGGTAATTTCTAGAGATGCCCCACACGTCCCAACTTACCAGGGCTCGAGTTGGATTCTTCGCTGTCTTTATCATGCAGACTCCTGATACGATAAACTGGACATAAAAAGACATGCATGAAACTCATTGACAAGGACTGCCAACTTAAAACGCTCTTTACAAATTTCCTCTGCTAAGTCAATTATTCTTTCTAACACTAACAAAATTTAAAGAAGTTTTAGTGGAAACAATGAGGACTTCTCACTACTTTCTATCATGAGGTAGTGATGTCATCAAAAGGTAACAATTGTTGAAAGAAAGAAACAGTAGAGTCATAGCAACCAAGTATATAAAGAACAGTGGACAGAAAAAGAGAATAGTGGACAGAACGTAGGTGGTTGTATCAGTCACGGACAGCCTAAAATGTCCTGACCAAAACTGCACACACGCATGCATACGTGTTTGTGTGTGTGTGTGTGTGTGTGTGTATGTGTTGTCTCATACATAACTGGCAGTGAGCCACCAAAAAAAACACCCAACAACAAACAAATAAACAAAAACTCCAAATGGTAAAAATGTTTGAAGAGATCAAGGAAAAAAAATAAATAAGCAAATTCATAAGATGGTCAGTGTGCTTAAAGATGATTTACATGAATAGAGAAAGGCATTAACAAATATCCAGTGAATATAAAGAAAACACAAAAATAAGGTGGTTAAACTAGCATGTTCCCACCTGTTTGAAGCACCAGAGGTACACGCATAACTGTGCATCGTGTGGCAGGGACATTCCCATTGGGTGGGACAAGCTGCTGTGAATGTGTTGAACACAAGGTACAAATAACTCTTTTGTTAAATAATTAGAAACTGTGAAAAGAAATCAAGCAGAAATCCAGACCGGGGGAAATTTCACTTGAGAGTGTGGGTGGACCTGTGGTCAGGGTGAGGGGAGAGTGTGAGAGCTGGACGGCAAGGTCGTGCAGCAAAGCACGTACTCCGCGGTGGTCTAAGAACATGAAGGCACCAAAGCTGGAGCCATCGGCTGCTGGACGACTGCAGAAAAGCCCCCCAAACCAAAAAACAAAAATGAAAAAGCCAAAACCCCTCCCCAGAGAACTGATCTAAGAGACCAGATTACACAGGAGTGTAAGCGTATCTAAGAGACCGGATTACACAGGAGTAAAGCAAAGAAGAGGACTCCAAAGTATGAAAATTTATTCATGAAAATCATAGCAGAAAATTTTCCCAGTGTAGAGAAAGTATTCAATTTTCACCTAAGTGAGGCACAGGGAACCCCAAACAGCCATGACCAGAAAACCTCTCCGTGAAACATCGCGATCAAAGTTCCAGAAATGCAGCACAAAGAGAGAATACCAAAACCTGTTAGAGTAAAACAGCAAGTAACCTGTCAGGGAAGCCTGTCAGAATAGCAGCAGATTTCTCAGCCCGACCCCAAGGCCAGGGGGAACATGGAGTGAGCTTTCTCAAGCCCTAAGTAAGAAAACAATTGTCAACCTCTATACCCTGCAGATGTAGACCTCTAAGTCCTGCAAAACTATCCTTCAGAATCGATGGAGAAACATTTTCCAGAGCAAAGAAACCCTAAAGAAATCCATGACTACTAAGCCAGCATTGCGGAAAACACTGACGGCGTCCCAGCAGAGATGGGGAGGCCGACCGCACCAGCGAGCCTGAGGGAGTGTCCATCTAGCTGAGCGAGTAAGCCGGGGGAAAAAGGAAGGACTCAGGACCGGAAGATCAGCGCAGAGACAGGACTCAGGAACTGTCTTAGGATGGTAATTCTCAGCTCCTGGTCTAACGCCCCTGTGAAAAGACACAGACCTGCAGATTCAGTCGGAAAACACGCTCTCACCATGGCGGGGAGACACGCCTCATCCGTAAAGAGATGCATATCCTGAGAGATGCTGTTTTTAGAAGGCGAATAATTAACACTAAAGGACATAGAGCACTTATTTGGATTTTGCTTGAAATTTCACTAGTTTTCTCCTAATTTTTCCCAAGGTAGTTAAGCACACTGATGAGCCAGTGTGGGAAAGGCAGGGGATCTCCGACCACTGCTCCTTCTGCTGGTCATTTTCGCTCTTCAGCACTGGCTGCCCCCTCCTGTAGCTCGGACCGCTGCTCCAGGCACGGCTAAAGGGCTTTCTTTGCTCCTGCGGCTGCCTCTGGCCGTCCCTTCTCCTCCCGCTGCGAATCAGATGTTTTCGGATGCTGTTGTCCTCCGTCCTGCCTGGTGGACTCACCTGCTCTTTCCTTGATCATTTACCTCTTTCAGATCATATATACACTTATATATATATATATATATATATATATATATATATATATATACGTGAATATATAAATATATATATGAATGAGGTGCTTCTAATACTTTGGGTGTATGGTTATTAGAATTTCTCTGCTCTAATCCTTTATGTCAGTCTCTTTTAGCTGTCCTGATAGTTCTCCTGTCCTTATTTTAATTTTCAGGTCTCAATTTTATGTGTGCCACCCTGACCATTACCTGCTATCGTTCCAGTACGTGACTTACAGTTTTAAAACACCAACCCTCTGTTTATGTCCCGGGTCAATATTCTGAGACTCTCAACTTCCTGTTGAACTGTTCCATTAGCTTAAATTCCATGGCCCGACATGGCGAACATCCTTCGTACCACCCTTCACTCTGTACCGTTCCTGTTTTCTTACGGTGTCGTGGCTGAACTCAAGGCCCGCTAAGCGTGGCTTTTCCTCCTACCGTGTGCTTGTGCTTATGCGCCTGGCTGTGGCTGAGGGAGACGCACAGCCCATCTCCCTGCACAGCCGTGCTCCCGGCCCTCGGTCAGTGCTGCCTGGAAACGCCCTTCCTCTTCTATCCTCCTGCATGCTCTCACATTTCTACATGACTTTTCTTTCACCTTCTCCCCTCCTATTTGACAATCCTCACTTTGGATTCATGATCTCACTTCCCATTTCACTCAAAAATCTGATGTTATTGGAATAAAAGTTCCACAAGCTCCCTTGCTTATCAGAAACTATGCGCTCTCTCTCTCTCTCTCTCTCTCT